AGTTCAGCCAGGAGTTAGTTAGAGGGTGGAGTGACCCAGCACTCCAGGAGTGGCACATGTCAGCAGGAAAGGTGCCAGGGCAGAGTCCCAACCACAGAACTGGGCTTGTCCCAAAGCCTTCCCTTCATTAATATGCCAGATTTCTGGCCAGCTGGGCAGAGGTCGGATTAAGATGTGATTTTCATGCTGCTGAGTCTGTTGGGTCAACTTGGGAAGGACACCCTGGGTAAGAGTCTGAGTGAAGCTAGGGAATACAGACCTTTCTCAGAGTACTGGGATGTATCGTTCCTCCCTCCCTCCCTCCCTCCCTCCCTCCCTCCCTCCCTCCCTCCCTCCCTCCCTCCCTCCCTCCCTTCCTCCCTCCCTCCCCTCTCTCTTTCTCTTTCTTCTTTCTTTTCTTCTCTGTCTCTCTCCCTTCCTTCCTTCCTTCCTTCCTTCCTTCCTTCCTTCCTTCCTTTTTCTTTTGTAAGACTTGCAAAGACCTCACAAAGACCCTTTGTTCGTTTTTTAAATTTTTTTTCCCTGAAGACCCAAATACTGCAGCAGGATTTCCCACACCCTACATCAGATGGAAGCAAATACCTCCAACCTACCTTCCAACATGATCTGTCTGTCCTCTTACAAGGCTGGCATTTGATGTTCTGTGTAGTGTCTCAGTGTTTTTAGAAATCACAGGAGGGTTGGGCTTGGGGTTAAGCTCTTGTACTGTGTCCCAACAGCACAGGCTGAAATCAGATGGAGTCACTCACACTGAAGTTCAGTGTCACCAAACTGCAAAGAATCCACTTATCTGATCTTCTGAGAAATCAGGTGTAGAAAGAAAACAGGAATTTCTTAACTAGGTAATTTCCAGTTGCCTCGATAATTAAGCTAATTCTTATACAAATGAAGTGATTTGAAGTAGCTTTTTGTTAAACAATTAGGGAAAGTAAGTTAAAATGACCCACTTGATGTTTACCTTTCTTTCTTTCTTTTGGGGGGGGGGAGGGGGCGGGAGAACAGGGTCTTGCCACGCAAGGGGTATGTGTCCTGGGTGCTGGGACATGTAACATGTACCACCTTGCCCAACCTTCTCTTTCTTCTTTGGATTTTGGTTTTCTTAGTTCCTCTCTGTTCCTACAATCTATCTGCTGTGCTGAGCTAAGCTCAACACCCTCCTCTACTTTATGGACTCAAGTGTTAGGCAGTCACAAGGTGGACAATCAAATCAATTAGATCATTAACTGTTAATCAGTCCTTTGACAGATGTCAAAGAGGGAAATAAAACTTCATTTCCCCATTCTCAGAGTCATGGAATGCATGAGTGGTCAGATGTGGGCTTCTCTAACTCATGGAGCGATTCCCTAGCACTCACCAACTGAGTGACCCCTCTGTGATGCAGGTCTACCCTGGAACTAGTTCCAATCCCTCAGGCGAAGGTCTTAAATTTGAGGATGTAACAAATCAAGGTTCTCGCAACCTGATGCTTACATTCAATAATTTGTTAGTATTGTTTACATATCTCAGGGAGCCAACCATTTCAATTCCATGCCTTACTATAAAGATTATAGACAAATAGCTAGATGGAGAGGCAAAGTGAGGCTGGTGGGGGAGGACACAGTCTCCACTTCCATTTTAGGGACAACCACCCAGGGCATCCTAGTTCCCTGGCCCAGAAGGGTCCCAAAACTTGCCTGATGGTCCCTCCTCCCACTTTAAAAGTTTTTATGTGTATGCATGTGTATATGTGTGCCTGCTACCGTCCGAGGCCAGAAGAGGGCGTTGAATCTTCTGGAACTGAAGCTGTAGATGGCTGAGAGCTGCTATGTGGGTGCTAAGAATAAAATTCGGGTCCTCTGGAAGAGCAGCCAGTGCTCTTAACCTCTGCACCATTTTTATAGGGCTTTCTACCTGCCACAGCTCACCCCGGTTCATGGCAGCTGAAGGGTGGGGGCTACAACTCTAACCCTCCAGTCTTGTGATCCATAGATCTTTCTTGTGTCTGGCACCAACCCTGGGGTCCCTATAGCCCTGTCTACGCTACCTCATTACCATGAATCCAAGTATTGTCCAAAAGGCACTGTGGTTGGTTGGTTGGTTGGTTGGTTGGTTGGTTGGTTGGTTGGTTTTGGGGGACAGGGTTTAGGAGTAAGTCTCGTTCAGCCAGGCTGACTTGCAATTCCTCCTGTAACTGAGATGACCTTGATTTCCTGACTCTGGGCCATGTGGGTTTGTGTCTGCACCTGAACATCCTACAGTGTTTAAAAGGAACACTGGGACTAAGAGCAGGATACAGCACATACTGTGAAAGGGAGGAGACACCAATGCTTAGAGTCCCATGGGTTTTAGGAGCCTCTTAATTAGGACCAGGGCAAAGAGCAAGTGTGCTTCATACCAGGGTAGTAGACTTGGGGAAGCAAGTACAAGTCTCGGAATGCAGAAATTGAATACAAAATCTATCTGCACCCACTGTCTACAGTTTCACTCTTGAGAGGTAATGACTGCCAACACTTTGATGACATGTTTTGCTGAACTTTTCTCAACTTTGCTGAAGGGATGCTGAAGGTGTGTGTGTGTGTGTGTGTGTGTGTGTGTTTTCTTTGCTTTGTACTTAAATGAAATATTTGTCACAATGTAAGTGCGGATTTTAATTGGAGGAGTAACTAGCTATAATCTGCCCTGTGCTGGGGTTCTGGGGTGACCTGCAGGTCTTGGACCACACAGAGAGGGTGTGACCACTTAAACTGCAGCCATGACACTAGGGTTTTTGTGTCCCACATCCTAAACAAGGTCCCACAACAGTCACCTGAAGATTCAATGGTTAAATTTCAGTAGAAATTAGAATTAAATTTTCCTATGGCTACTTTATAGTTTACATTTATATCACTATTAGCACAAATGGTAATTAGCCTTTTATGTAAAAAAAAGACAGCCTAATTAGTTGTTCACACACACAAAACAATGCTTTTTCACACATCTTAATTGCTTTTCTGCTAATGAAAGTGTAACTGCAAAACCTCAAAGTCTAGCATCCCCTCCCGTGCTAATTCCATTCCATTAGAGGCAACACACCCTGAGTGTTTGTGAAGTGTGAGTGCTAGACTTGAATTTACGAGGAAAGATGAGGTTAGTACACTGTCCCCACAGAAGACAATAATAAAACCAGTTCATACAAGATGCACCTCTCTCTGCAGAAACAAGAAGGTAACGACTTAAATTTTCCTTTCCTACATTTCTCCTGTGTGCCCATATCTGTCCAGAGAATGACAGCCAGGCACTCGGCAGCATTTCCGAGGCTAACTCGGAGAGGAGAAACTTGAAAGTCATCATTGCAAGAGAAAGAGGGCCTGCAAGCTGCCAAGACTAAGAACCCGAAGGGGACAGGGCACCTGGTTTTCTGTCACAGACCAGCCTTGGCAAAATGGCTCATTTCTCCAGCACTGAGGGAGATGAAGACTTCTCCAGTCTGAAGGACGGAAAGGTTCAAATGGAGTCTGTTTAGGCCTCCATGCTACCTGTTTCCAATCTTAACATTGAGAAAACTTCACCCAATGTTAAGACTGGATATGGGGAAGATAGGAGATTTGCCTCTGTTCTCAGAGAACAGTCTGAGGGGACACAGGTCAGAGAAATGTCACATGCAGCAAGGTGGTGCAACATCTAGGGATGAGAGATAATTTGAGGGGAGGTTCTGAGGGAGCTGTACCATAAGGTGAGTTCTTGTCATAATATAATTAATAACATTTTGTCTATTATTTAGAGATGAGACAGGTCTTGCTATCTTGCCTAGACTGGCTCCAACTCTTGCTCCTCTTGCCTCCACTTCCCTAATATCTGGAATTACAGACAAATGTTTCTGTACCTGAATAATACTACAGTTTTTAAAAGGGGCCTGGGGATGAGAGCAGCTAAGGCACCCAAAGGAGCCTGTGGGAGCAGGAGACAGAATGTGTGGCCCTGACAGATACATCTATAACATACAGACGGGGCATCGACATCAAGACATCTGCAGTACCAATTAGACCAGCAGGGATCAAAAGCAGAGCGAGCCTGGTCCCCTGATGCCCGCTGGGCTCCAAGAAGATTCATGTTCAATCTCATTAACACCCTCCATCTTCTGACTCCCCTTCTTCCTCTTTCTCTCCCTTTTCCTTGGTAGCAAGAGAAGATAGAAAAGAATAACCCAAAGGAAAAATTATCCAAAAGAGAATTGAGATCTGGATAAAACACAACTCTTTACTGGCAGTGGAGGCTGGGCTCGTGAGCTGGCTTAAGTAAAATCAATGACAGAGAAAGCAAGCCACAGCCCTGCACGTCTTTACGTGGGTATTTTTTGTTCACTGTGATATGCACAGACACCATGCATGACTGAATGAGTGTCGTGTCTGTGTGCTTTTCATAGTATGACAGGCCTGAGAGGCAGACAGACCTGGACTTAAATCATGGCTCATCCCGGTCACAGCTGGATGACCCTGGGCAACTTCCTCAGCCTGAGGCTCTGTAAACTAAGAACAGCAGTGTTGTGAATATCGTCATGATTAAACGAGATATAAAACCATTGAGCATTTAGTAAATACTATTTACCATCATCAACACCAGCATGGTCATCATAATTATTAAATAATAAGCTATTCTTACCATTGTGTGTGTGAATTTTGACTGTCTGAATTTTTTAAAGATGTATTTATTTATTATGTACAATGTTCTGACTGTATGTATGCCTGCAGGCCAGAAGAGGGCACCGGATCTCACTATGGATGGTTATGAGCCACCATGTGGTTGCTGGGAACTGAATTCAGGATCTCTGAAGAGCAACCAGTGCTCTTAACAACTGAACCATCTCTCCAGCTCGACTGTCTGAATTTCTTATTGGTAAAATTACTTGTTGTATGTATGCATGCCACATCTAGCTCCTATTGCTGTTTGGAGGCTAAGGGGATGTTTGTGCAGAGGGTTGTCAGTGTTGCTATTTAATGTGAACCTCTGTGTGTGTGTGTGTGTGTGTGTGTTATGGTTTAATATTTTTTATGAAAGTGTATTTTTATTATTTTCCTACATGACATCATAACCAGTACACCATTTGCATTTTCTCAGCTGACAAATAAGATCCAAACTCTCCTTGATGCTCCGCAAATCAAGAACAGTCACCTGTCTCTGGGAGGATTCAGTTTCTTACGACGTCTGTGATACTGTCCTTGCGGGTACCAGTGGTGCTCTGTAGTGAAGAACACCTTGCTGAGCTGATCTATCATGGTTCCTCGCTCAAGCTGGGCACTTTTTACTCCTAATTTGCTTTTTAGCACTTGTTCATGTGTTTTATTATTATGCAAAATATCTGGTTGAGGGATAGGTTTGGTATGTTCGTACGGGATGTCCACAGAAGGGTGGTAGCAGACTATCGTCCTGCCGTCAGATGTCAAAGCGAGCTCTACCTTGCAGTTGTAGTCATCTGGAAGAGAAGAATATGTAGATTTACAACACACACTAGACAAAGCTCCACTTTGGATTGGAAATAAATGTTTCCAGATAGCTCTGCTTGCTGACACCCATTTTACTGCTGTAGCCATGATCTTCATCAGGTGATTTGAAAAAAGATATTGTGAGGAGAAATGGCTTCTAAAATCTGTTTCTAGGCACACAGATTTTCATTCCGCGGGCCCGCCATCTTGCTTCTTAATATTGTTGATATGATAAAACTCTTTGACTAAATAGAACTCATAGGAGAACAAGTTTATTTCGTCTCATAGGTGACAGTTCACCACAGACAGAAGTCAGAGCAGGGACTTGAGGCAGGAACCATAGAGGAGTTAGTACTTGGTAGCTGGCTTTCAGGCTCATGCTTAGCTGGAATTCTTACACAACCCAGGACTGTTGGCTTAGAGAATGGTGCCACCCACGATTGGCTGGGCCCTTCTACATCAGTAACAAAGAAGACAGTCAGTTCACTCCAGATACATCCATGGAGTAATCGGAGCTGGACAATCCCTCAGTCGAGACTCCTTTCTCAGGTGACTCTAGGCTGTGTCAAACTAAAGCAAACTGGGAAAACATTTCTGCAACATATTAGGTTTGGGGAACAAGGCATCACACTGTAGCCCAAGCTGCCTTCATTCAAATCCAGGCACACCTTCTGCATTTGATGAGATTACAGACACGAACCACTGTCCCTGCCTATATTTTGATTTTATGTATGCTCATTTGTTTACTGTTGAGAATGTGCTCTCGGAAAGAGTTATGTATTTCTGGATTTGAGGAAAGTCAAAGCGAAGTTCCTCATGATCCAGGGTAGAAATTTGCATCTTGAGTGAAGAAATCAGGTTCCCCAGGCATCGTCCCTCACTTAGGTGGAAGGGTGGACAGCAGCCCAAAGGCTCACGGGGGCAGAGGCTTTCCCTTTGCAGATGCCCTTGGAGGCACAGCATGCTGGAGTCTTACCCTATTACTCACTGAAGAGCTCTGCTTGAAGCTCCTGTAGAAGAACAGATCATCAAGTATGTTTACTATGGAGCATCCATCTTCTTTTCTTAACTTTAATTAGTTAATTTGGGGAAGGTGGATTGAGACAGTGTTGCTATGTAGTTCGGGCTGCCTTCAAACTTACTATTTTTGTCTCAACTTCCAAAGTGTTAGAATTTACTGCTATGTGCCACGATCTAGGCTGAAGACATTCCTGTCACAGTGAGCAACTGTTTACTGTGGTAGTAGTCCCTATCAACAGCGAATTCTCTGGGGCTTCCTTCTGCTCCAAGTGACTCACAAAAACTTCTTGTCCAAGAATCTCTCACCTCTTATTCAAGAGTGGCGGGACAGGCCGGGGGCATGGTGGCACTTGGATGGAAGAGGTAGGCAGATCTCTGGCAGTTGATCAGCCTGGTCTACATAGTTCAGTCTAAGCAGGGCTACATAGAGAGATTGTATAAAAACAATGGCTGTTCAATCTTATTTCCATCCTCACACCATCAAAATGCAAAGCCTATAGGAGTGCCAGACCCTGGGTAATAAAATCTAATCGTTATCCCTCGTGGTCTTGCTGTGTTTGGCAGCAGAGGCATTAAAGTTGGCCTTGTTTCTGGGTGCCTCAATAAAGCACGTAATCTTTTGATACAGTTAATTCACTAAACTGGGAGAATAATGGATGATATTGTGCGAGTCTGCCTCAAGAGGTATTGTAGCAAGGTGAGGATCTCATTGGAGGAACAAAGTCCATGCAAATATGTATCATTAACCGGCCCTGGCTTCAGTCACACGGTGAATGGTTTATTGTTCAAATACAGCCCTTCCCATATTAATGCAACCTGTAGCTAACAACATACTAGCAGTGGATATTCTAAATTTCTTCAAGATTATTGTTAGATTCATTTTGATCTCTTGAATTTTCATTCCTAGATCTTGAAAGTTATCTTCCTATTCCATTAGAAGGTAGGTTTTCCCCCAGGGAAACATTTAGCTAGAGGAGTGCCTGTCTTGACTCCATGAGGAAGCATGAATGTACCTGGCCAGATGTCAGTAAATTAGGACTGCCCTAATTCACACAGATGTCTCCTAGATAAGTACCTTGCTAAGAAGAAAAGTCATGTGCAGAGCAACATTTAGCAACTATTCCAGTAGGCACACTGTGTCCACGCAGCTGTTACAACACCCTGCAGCATGAGCTGACAGCCTATCCAAAACTTCCAGGGTTCTTCAGAACTCATTTGGAAGCACAGATTGAGTAAATCACCTGGACTCAGAATAATGGAATTGTGTGTACCTGTGAAATAAATGTGCAGTCACAAATGACCATCTTCAACACTGAGACAACTTAGACATTTGAAGACATGGGAAAGATTTGTTTTATATTACTTAACTTTCTTTGGCATCCAGGAAATTGCTAAGGATACTGAAAACAAGTGTTTGTCTACTGATGAATACCAGCTGTAGACTCTGGTCTGGCTGTGGAAAATCCCAGAGGAGATCTAGGAATATCTTAGTTGGTTAGGGACAAATAAAGATTAGGTCAGCACCACCATCATCTTTTGGTGACACCCTCTCTCCCTTTGATGGCTTCTTGCTCACTCAGGCCTTCAGGGTCGTTCATTACCTTAGTGGTTTGAGGTTTGTTTGATTCAACAATGCACTCAGTGAGGATGATTCTGGGACAGTCAAAGATTGTCCTACTGTGCCCTGGAACTCCTCTCTTGACTTTGTTTCCTAAAGTAGAAAAGAAATTCTGGAAGGGAGGAGTCTAGGCTGCTCTTACATATATTTCATGGGCTATTCCTTTCTCCTTCCCCAAGGAATATTCAGCGAAAATTCAAATAATAATTTAAACTTAGGGCAGGAGCCATGTTTATTGTTTCCTGGGTACAGATGTTATGAGCTGCCATTATTCCTTGTTGATTTGGTTAACAGGGGAGGGTGTAAATTACATCCTACTACTTTTTCCAACAAACTGCCTACAAAGGCTGGCTAGCTCGAGGACCAAAAAGGATTAAACGGAGCCTAGGAGTGGCGTACTGCTTGCCTACTGGCTCAAGTATGTTAACGCTCCAGTCCTGCAGATAATGCTGACAGGAAAAATTGTTTAAAAAGGAAGAAGCTGGGACATGGAGAGTGGATGTATTTTACTAGTCGTATATGGAGTGAGATCCATTAGGTTTGGCCTCCCAGAGAAGAGAGGGCTTTACCTGTGCATTGAGATGGAGCTGTGTTCACAGAGAGGAGAGGGCTTTACCTGTGCATTGAGATCGAGCTGTGTTCACAGAGAGGAGAGGGTCAAATCACATGTCATGCGGCTACTTAAATAGAAGTCCAGAAGGAGAAGCAAGCACCAGGAAGGTTCTGAGACCTGAAATTGAAAATGCGGAGACTACTGAACAGGCTTATGAAGGAAATATATGAAAATCATTACAGCAAATAATTTAACACATAAAATGCACTCCTGTTCAGTTCTTAGCAGGACTGAAATAATTCTCAAAGCAATTGTTTCTTTTTGGGGCGGGGAGGAGAGTTGTTTGTTTCTTTTCTCTCTCTTTTTTTTTTTTTTTTTGAGACAGGGTTTCTCTATATTGTTTTGGAGACTCTCCTGGAGCTCTGTAGACCAGGCTGGCCTCAAACTCAGAGATCAGCCTGCCTCTGCCTCCTGTGTTCTGGAATTAAAGGCATGAACTGCTACTGTCGAGCTGCAGTTGCTCTCTTTTTGGGAAACATTTAAAAGGTATTACTGTGACCCGGAGTGTGTTCTCCCTGTTAACTAGAACTGGTGGTTTTTGCTTTGGATTAAACTTCCATACTATTCCCTGATAGATCAAGCCCATTACTGCTAAGTGTCACATACTGGAATGTTAAGGGAACAGATAACACCGAACAGACAAGTTTTTCCTGGAAAAAAGGAGATCCATAGCCATGAACTGGAAAGGACCAGGACAACCAAATCATGGTAATAAGGAAGTCCCCTTTGCTACGCCCTTACTAGAAGAATCGCTTGCAGTAACCTGACTGAAGTTATCAGTCTGCCTTCATTCCATCCTGTTTCCTTCTTCCTGCCAAAACCCCAGCTGACCTAGGCCTAGTCAAGCACACTTTGTTTAATTCTAGAATCTCAAAGAAAAGACGACTAGAACTTTAAAGTGCATTGATTGTGATTTTTCCTTTTAACCCGAAATGTGTGTGTTGACTACCCCACCGACCCCCACGCACCACTGGTCTTGCACAAGCTACAGGTCCCTTGTGCACACAGCAAAAGAGCCTGCACCTGCAGGGTGATCAAAGAGGCTTTGGAATGAGATCTTTCTTATCATTCCTCTTGACCTTGGACTGCTGCTTCTCCACCTGGGTGACGCTGTCTGCTGTCGGGATTACCCAGTCTGTGGTATTTGCTATGGCCCATGCTGACGAAGACAAGCACATGTTACAGTATTCCAAAAGACTACCTCTCCCATGAGCTGCTGGAGAAGCTGATGGGAGATTGGCCATTGACCTCGGTCTCCAGTTAAGCTCCTCAGCCTCACACCTGGAAAGAAGCAAGCTCCTGACTCGGGGATAAAGAGTTGCTACACATCCAGGAGCTGATCTCTAACACAAAGGGCAAAGGTGATACTCTCTCTTCTGGGACTGCCCTGCTCCTCCATCCCAAGCTCTCTGTAAGGATGCAAGAAGGGGGCTCGTGCTCCATCACAATGCATAGTCACTTCTCCAGCTAGCCCAGGGCCAGCAGCAATCTCCTGGTTTAGAGTCTCTTTACTTGATTCTGTCTGATAATGGAGGAATACATGCCCAGATGCTTTAGAATGCAGCCAAGAGTCTGCCCGAGGTCACTTAACCACCATGTTTGTGATAGAGATCCCCAAAGCCCTTATCACCCCAAGTAAGATTCCTATGTTTTACCACTTGACCAGCTGCTTCATGGCATTCAACACTAGCGACAAGATAAAACTTATTGGATGATTTTTACAAATGTGCCTGGCATTGCGCTCAGCATCTCTAGTCCCCCTCACTGAATGCTGTCTACAAATTGATGAACCACTGATAACTGTCTCCATTTTTCAGATGGGAAAATAGACTTAGATAAGCTGAGAAACGTCCCAAGGTCACACTTTAAAGTGAATGCAGGCTTCAAACTCACCCCCAAAGCATTACAATATAAATGTGGATTAAATAAGAATAATCACTTACCCAGAACACCAGCTGACAAATATAATTAGTTGTATTTTAAATATTCTATTCAACGTTCTCAAAATTTCCGAGGCTAACTAACCTAACATGTTAAATGTCTTGTCATCAGTAGTTGAAACATCACATTCCATTTTTCAGCTCTCCCATCTCTCACAGTTTCATCTTCTTCCTCCCTCCCTCCTTCCCTTTTGAGTTTGGAGTCTTTGACTTCCTTTTAAAAAATCGAGAAGTTATGCCTACACATAGCCTGGAGAGCCAATGCAACCTCGAAGTTCTTCCCTGCAGGAAAAGCATTCGGAGCAGAAGGCTGCTCCTCGGTTGTGCGTTGTCTCACAGGCACACGGAGATCCACAAGGACAGATAGAACACTCCGGAATCTGCAGAACAATTGGCAACAGTTGGCACGGGTTCTTAAAGACCTAGTGTGATTGTTTTAAAAATCAGCTCAAAGGTGTCCCTAGAGAGTTATTACTTGGCCTGTCACCGGGTTTCTTACTGACCAGCAGCACTGAACCATGCGATACCCACTGTTGGCTCTCCACCCAGCATCACCAAAACCATCACCGTCACGCTTGGCACAATCCTGACAGGATGCTAGAGGGCCGAATACCCAGTGTGCCGCCAGGCTTCTCTGTAAGGAATCACTGTCAAATACGTCTCCAGCTTCTGGAATCCTTTATTAGAAAGTGGCTGAACAAAGAGCAAAGATTTGCTTTCTTTAACACGGCGAATCAGATCCTACAGACTTTCCATGGTTACCCAATGTTCAGGGCTTCCACCGCGGCCACATTAATTCAGCCTCAAAGTCGTGGGATGATTCGACGCATCATTTGCAACACATGGTTTTGTTTTACTATCTCATTCTTCTGATGACTCCTTTAAAAAAAAAATGGCAGCTATATATAAAAAAAAAAGTCACTCCCCTGCCAGAAAAATGGGTGCCGGGTTATTAAAAATGTAAACCCGCGCAAAAACAAAGCAAAAACCCACCAAAACAAAACAAAACAAAACAAAAAACCGCCAGAGCAAGTGGAATCTCAGATCTAAGGAAACAACAGCGGGTAAAAGCGTCAGCCTAAGCCCTGGAAACGGGGGTCACGTGGGGCCTTCCCGGGCCTTGGATCCTGGACGTCACCGGGTCCCGGCAGCCGCGGAGCCGGCGCTGGCGGCCGCACGTAGCTCTTGTCTGACTCAGCGCTGAGTCACCGCTCTCCGGACTCGGTGCTCGCCCTGCGTCGCTGCCGAGGGCTGCGGGGTCCGTGCGCGCCGGTGGGTGCGGAGCCCTCAGTGCATCGCAGACCGGTCGCTTCCCGGAGCAGACAGCTTTTGAAGCCGGACCAAACCCAGCATTAACTGCCTGCGTGGCTTCCTTTGCTTTTAAGGACTAACTGATCTAGGGATCAAATTGTCCCAACGGAAGCTAGTGGGAACAGATCCCCGACTTTGTCCTTGAACAGTGAATGACTTTGAGACGACTTCCTTTCGGGATTTTACTTCTGCTGTTCCAAACCTCTGTCTCCCCCTCCCCTCCCCCGTTTCATAGTTTATCTTTCAGAATGTTTGATAACTAATCTTGTCACAAACCCACAAACGTGGTGACGCAAGTCAGGTTGGAATCTGGCATGGTGTGCAGGCAGTGACTTACTGTAAAAGCCAGAGCCTCCATGGCCACATCCTATCTGTCATCTCAGGCGCTGATTAGCTGTCTTGCCCTTTCAGAGGTCGTGGGGATTTAGACGGCCCGTTGAAGTGTCTTCACAGTGGCCAAGTTCATTGCTTCCTCCTTGGAGTTTAAAACGAAGAGGACAAGAGATAAGCACTTCTCCGAGTGTAGCCTGGACCAACTGTCCCAGCACGATCTCACTCCTAGCTGGAGCTGCAGAATATCCCGGATAGAACTGGAAACCAGCCATGTGCCAGCATCTCCTGGGCCCCTGTGTCTGAAAGTCTTATCAGACTTGGGGACAGAGACGACCACACATGATTTTGAATTCTGGTGGAAGGCAACAGAATTTCTAAACTTTATCTTTGTTTTTTCTGATTTGCATTTGCTTTGCCTATATGCTACACACGGATTTCTATTTTTTTTTATTTATAATGTTAGTTGCATAAGAAAACCAAGGCTGAATGGGAATGTAAGGCTTTCTGGGGTTGATCTCAGCACTACAAATAAATGAATAAACAATAAATATTAGGTAAAATTTCGTTATATCAGAGCAGAGCGTTGGAATTAACTACGGGGCCTTGAGAAACGCCTCCCGGGTCAGATTCTGGGCTTAAAGCAATGCCATGCATGAATGTGAAGGACATTTTATGTTTTGAAGGTCTCCGGCTCAGTCGGTGAACAGATGTAAACACCCTACACTCAACGTAACAGAAACTCCACAGCTCCAGGCTGGGGACCCCCTGTGCTCCCTGACCTCTCTGTCTGAAATGTCGGGGAGAGTGAAACACAAGATGGCCAGAAAAAAGACCAGTGGACCCCGTCACTGTGATGCAGTCATTCTGGGGCTGATGGCGCTGCGCTGAAGGCCTGCGTGCTCTAGCCACACGCTCTGCTGCAGAGCTGCACCGTGGCACGGATTCCCACCCATGACCTTGCATGCGTGTACACAGCAATAATAAAAAAGTACTGGTGAGAATACGCATCGATTATTCACTAAGAGAACACAGAGCAGTGTTCTGCACCCAAGTGAAATAAAATGTGTGCTTCGAAATATAGCAAAATGCTTTCCAGTTTGCTTCTGCTTTTGTTTTTTGTTACTAGCTACCCTTGCGCGCTGTATTTCAGGCTGAGTCATGCCTTCTTTCTAAATCAGCCAAAATAGCCAGATAGGCAAAAGAAGGGTTTCTCAGAAGACAGTTAGAGCGTCTGTTTTCTCCTTAGCCCTAGGGACTGAACTCCTGCTGTTAGGCAGTCTTGCCCCTCCCTCCTTTCCTGCAGCTCATAGACACCGGCATAATCTTTACACCAGTCTCTATTTTTGTTGGGGTTTTCATTATATTTGTGATGTTTAAGTTTATTAAAGAAAAGCACCACAATTTCCCATTAGTTTACCTATATGCTGATTGACATAACAGACACAATGGCTGGGTGTGGCGGCTCAAAGCTGTCCTAAGACAGTCCTAGGGACAGTCCTATAGAGGCGGTGGCACAAAAAAAGTCTCGAAAACTTTTATGGATTTTGGTCAACACGAATGAATTGACACTTATTGAGTGGGTATTCTGTTTGTAGTTATATTATCCACAGATTTCTTGCTATTTTTGTTTGTTTGTTTGTTTTTCGAGACAGGGTTTCTCTGTATTGTTCTAGAACCTGTCCTGGAACTCGATCTGTAGACCAGGCTGGCCTCGAACATACAGAGATCTGCCTGCCTCAGCCTCCCGAGTGCTAGGATTAAAGGTTTGTGCCACCACCGCCTGGCCACATCTGACAACTCTTGAGATGTTTCCTGTCTTTATCTTCTTGTCTATTTCCTTCTAGAATGACTTTGATTAGACCTTAGGCCTCTAAGTCAATTCTGTATTGTTCTGAGAGTTTTTCTTTCTTTTTCCTTTTTTGGGGGTGTGGTGGTGGTGGTTTGAGACAGAGATTCTCTGTGCAGCCCTGGATATCCTGGAACTTGTTCTGTAGAGCAGGCTGGCCTCAAACTCAGAAATACACCTGCCTCTGCCTTCCAAGTGCTGAAATTAAAGATGTGGGCCACCACTGCTCAGCTCTGATAATTTTTTTTTATGTCACATTTTTTTTCATGCTTTGCTGAATATTTGGAGAAATTTCCTTAACTTGTATCTTCTAATCCTATTTATGTTTTCATCTGGACTATTATATTTTCAGTATATCAAGGCTTTATCATTAATGTTTTCAAACACTGGTTCTTTGTTCTCTATTACCTGTGTCTATGTGTTATGCTTCCTATTGGTGCATTTGACAAGCTTTTGTCATATGTGTAGGGACAATTTTGGTTGTATTCACTTACTTATTTGCACTTGAGATGATCTCATGCACCCTCAGCTAACCTCAAATCTGCAAACCTTTCTGCATCAGTTCCCAAATGCTGGAGTTACAGGTGACACCACATCTGTCTATGTATTTATAATTTATAAAGAGCAGGAGCAGAAGCCAGGTGTGGTGTCATACAGCTATCATTCCAGTATGCAGGACAATTGACTTTGGGAGGTCCATCTGGAGTCTACCGGATACCAGATACCTTTTCCCCCCTTTGTTTTTTTAGAGACAGGGTTTCTCTGTAGCTTTGGAGGCTGTCCCGGGATTCGCTCAATAGAACAGGCTTGGCCTCAAACTTCGAGATCTGACTGTCTCTGCCTCCAGAGTGCTGGGATTACAGGCATGTGCCACCAACACCCGGCCCTTCAAATGTTTTTAGTACCTTAGAAGAGACCCTTCAGATTTTCTGAAGGAACCAGTCCTCAGATTCAGCATGTTCACAGAGCGTGGGAAATGGAAAGGGAAATGTGATTCCCTGTTCTCCTCAGACCTTCAGTTTATTTAGATAATTTTATCCTGCTACTTTTTCCTACAGGTCAGGCTCTGAGAAGAAGGTCATTTGGGAAACTACAAATGTCTTTCTTCTGTCTTTTCCTAGAAAGCACCCAAATACAGATTCCTGATGCTACTCCTCTTGGATGATGCCTCAGAGTCTCCGGTAGAGCAAAGAAGCGAGCAAGCGAGTGAGCCAGCAAAACCCTCCCTGGCTCAGGTGTAGATTCCCAGGTCTGAGTAGCATGAGGAAGTAATGGTGACTCAGGAGGAGGTGACTGTGCCAGACAGAATAGAAATGGGAGCCCCACCCCCTCCCTGGCAAATGCATGATGTCAGGGAGACGGTGGAAGATGAAACAAAAAACGCCTTCCAGACTCGAGCCTGAATGACTCCGGGATTTCAGATCGTCTGTTACTACGAAAGGAAAGTAGCAACAAGGTGAGTTTTGACCTCTTTCTTGGTTTTCCTCACCAGATACTATATTGAATGGCGTCCCCGAGAATCATTGTTTAAGTACCCGTTTGACGAAGATGTCTCTAATAAGAGTGAGACTAAATTACAGTTGAATAATAGTAGATAGTTTATGTAATATTTAGGTTATATAGCAGCCGGGCAGTGGTGGCACTCGGGAGGCAGAGGCAGGTGGATCTCTGTGAGTTTGAGGCCAGGCTGGACCGACAGCCTCCGCTACAGAGAAACCCTGTCTCATAAAACCAAAAATATATATATATATTTAGGTTATATAAAGTACATGTTCGCTGACACAAGCTGAAGGCAGGTCGGCTTGGCTTTTACCAATTTCTGACATGTCACTAAAAGAGTGAACTAAACAGCAAGAGAGTGGTAAAAATTTTGGGTTTCTGTTCAACTATATATCTGAATTTTCTAACTGTAAAAACAAAATTTTCAAGCATACAGTGCCTCCCTCCCCACATCTAAAAACAAATGCAAAAAGTGACAGTGTACAGTGACTCTTCCAGACTCACAACCTTACTGAAATATCGTGACTCACACAGTTCACTTGCTGATAACACAAGAGTCCACTGACTCAGCGTGCCTTTAGAATCCAATGAGAACTTTCAAATCTGTAACACTATGACGGTCCTTAATTCTTCCTTCACTTTAAACCAGATCTGGGTTTTTAAAGACAGCACTTATTTGGCAATATTGGGGTTTTGAATTAAGATGTGACTTACAGAGAGTGATTTCAGTACCATTATTAGACAGCTAGCTCTTCCCACAGTCACGCACAAACCTACCCCATACTTCTTCCCACAGTCACGCACAAACCTACCCCATACTCATAACACAAAGGCATCCTTTACTGCTCAAGCCCCATCCCCACTTCCGCCCTTGGAAGTTGCTCATGTGTTTTCTGTCTTTATAATTTTGTCTCTTCCAGAATGCCATGGGAATGTTATCAGGCACCAGGAGCCTTCTGAATTGGCTTCTTTCATCTGGTATGTACATTTGAGATGCTCCAACTATTGTCCCTTAGGGCTGCTGATAGCATTTTACTGAGTAGGATGTGCCAGTAGTTCATCCAATATCAGCGTTAAACCATATAGAAATTATTTTATTTTATAGACAAAATGAACTCCATGACAACAGAATTTTGCATTTATTAAGAAAGAGAAAGCTGGGCCTAGCGGCACGAGCCCTTAATTTCAGCACTTGGGAGGTCTCTGAGGTCAAGGACAGCCTGGTTTACATAGTGAATTTCAGAACACAGAAATAGTGAAACATAGTGTCTTGAAAAAAAAAACAAAACGAAAAAGAAACAAAGAGAAAAATAAATTAAATTCCTATTACCTTGAATTCTACATTAATTTTGGACTTACTTGAGCACATATTAGGTATAACTATTTCAAGAACCACTTTATCACATACTTTAGGAACAGTACATATTTATTCTAGTTTTTTTAAATTGTGGTTTGCATTTGAATCACAAGTTCCAATTTTTTTTCACCTATAGGGGAATACAGCACACAGGATGACAACAGCTGACATTGGGTAATATTTTGCTTTATCAAAATATTCTGAAGGTGAGTGTTCCATGAGGGTCCCCTTCAACCTAGACCTTTGAAATAGCTTGTTTCCATTTAAACCCTAGTAATCTTTTACCCCACAGAGGCAACAGGTGGCTTAGAAAACAGCCAGTAGAAAGATAATTCATGCCCTTCAGGACGGGTGCCAGTGGAAAAAAGTGACCTGAAATACAGATCTCAGGCCCGACATGATGAAAATCTAATGCCACAGCTGTTGTCTCTCAGAACTGTCACTCACCATGTTTTAATTTCACAGTTTTGATTTAATCTTTTCTAAATACAGCATTGGATAAATACAGAACAAGATAACAAGAGTTCCCGGCAAAGAAGCCAGGTCAGTATTAGCCCTGTCCCTCCTGTGCCTGGTCCTTTGGGTTTTATTTTCTGTGGCGATTGCATCTCCTGAGCTCAGCTTTTATGCTCTGGAGGCACAGAGCTTATTCATTAACATGTGAGCCTCACAGGAATCCCAGGATGCCTGTACTGGCTCTGCAAACTTGTAATACACAGTGCACTCCTAGAGAAGAGGACATTTTCAGCGATGGTCCCCTTCTTTACCAAGATTTGTCACTGGTGCCCTCCTCTCAGGCATGGGTTATGTTATTTTTATTGTGAAGCCATGTTACAAAAAGCTGCCTCCACTCTAAGTGTACAACACTGGCTGAGGATACTCAAGTAAACCCCAAGACTCCAAGTCTACATGTTCTCACCAATGATCCTCTTTAGTCAATCCTACCTCCACTCAATTGCAGGCAACTGACTTTTTCTTTTTTTTAATAAGAATTGTAGCAGTGACTTTTTGATACTGAGAGAAAATATGTAACCCAAAGCAACTTACAGACAAAAGTGTTTATTTGGGCTTATGGTTCCAGAGGAATAAGAGCCCATCATTCTAGAGAGGTGTGGGTGAAATCCCTCCCTGGGGAGGACACAAGCAGCATTTGCTTGTCTGCTAAGATCCAAGTGGCAAATGGAGGCACATGTTCACTCTAGGGAACCACTGAGTTTATTGGGCTTCCTTACAGGACACAGCTGAGGAGCTGACTGTAGCCATGCAGGTGCCCTTTCCCTGCCAGCAGCCTGAGATCGGGCGCCTCCCTGTAGCTATGCAGATGGAGGCCCCCACTTCCCCAGCCTGGGTGGCTTGAAAGAAAACTGCCCCCAAAGGGAGTGGCACTATTAGGAGGTGTGGCCTTGCTGGAGGAAGTGTGTCACTGTGGGGGTGGACTTTGAGGCCTCTTTCACTCAAGATCCCCTCAGGGGGGCAGGTGGTCAACCTCCCATTGCCTGCCAGGTGTGATGCTCTCAGCTCCAGGACCACATCTGCCTGCTTGCCGCCATGCTCCCTGCCGGGATGATAATGGAGGGAAACCCAATTAAATGCTTTCTTTAGAAGAATTGCCATGGTCATGGTGTCTTTAAGACACCAGCCTATGTACTCTGGCCCCTCCCTGACGCCATGTGCAATTAAGGCCTTGTTGCATACAACAGGTGGTGGGGAGCTACTGGATACTTAGGTGAGGGGCTCATGGATGAAAACACTCAAGTCCAGCTGAGATGACCCTTACTGCAAAGAGTTGTGGCTGAACCTCCCAAGAAGGGAGTTGTTTGCATTGTGGGACAGTAAGGGAAGGAGGGCATGGCAGCAAATGGCAGGCGTGGCGACAGGAGCAGGAAACTGAGAGATCGCAACCTGGAAACGACCTCAGGAAGCATTCAGGGTGAACTGAGAGTGTGGTGCAGCCGAGTCTGCGGTGATGTACTTCCTCCAGCAAGACTCGACCCATAAAGGTTCCATAACCTCGGATAGCAACGCCAGCTAGGGACAAAGTGTTCAAACACAGGCACCTATGGGGACATTTCTCTTCAAACCACAGCCGTAGGCTCATTTTGTATTTTCTAGTATTTCTTGTAAATGGTGTGTGCTCTCTGGGTCTGGCTTGTTTGCACAACATCCACCGTTCGAGATTCATCCGTGTTGTTGCGTGTGTCTATAATTAATTCCTTAGCCTCCATTGTATTATTTTTGTGGGTATATCATAGTTTGTTTATCTGCTGTGTGCTGATGAACCCTTGGACTACATCTTTTTTGATACTACTATGTGTGATGCTGCTACAGATATTTGTGTGCAAGTTTATATAGTTTTCACTTCACTCAGGGAAAACACTCATGTAAAAATGGTTGGTTTATGTGAGTAAATTTCTTTGTTTGAAGTCTCTTGAAAACCAGGATGTTTTTCATGTGCTTACTGCACTTCCTGGCTAGTCTTATGCCAACTTGACACACCTGAGAGGAGGGAACCTCAGTTAAGAAATGCCTCCCTAAGATCAGGGTGCAGGCAAGCTGGCACAGCATTTTCTTAATTAGTGATTGATGGGGGAGGGCCCAGATCATTGCGCGTGGTGCCAATCCTGAGCTGCCGGTTCTGGGTTCCATTAAAAAAGTAGGCTGAGCAAGGCAGTATGAGCGAGCCAGTAAGCAGCATCCTTCCATGGCCTCTGCATCAGCTCCTGCCCTGTTTGAGCTCCTGTCCTGACTTCATTTGATGATGATATGGAAGTGTAAGCTCAGTAAACCCTGTCCCCCAGTTTGCATTTTTGGTCATGGTGCTTCATTGCAGCAATATAAACCCAACTGAGACATTGGATCTGGGTACACTGATTGTAGTTATGCTTAACGTGTAGTATTTGATCAATTATTGACTTATACACAAAGCTGCCCACTCTTGGCTTAATGTAAAGATATCAAATATCAACAATTTTAATACACACGACAAATATCCCGAAGCACCAATGATGTTAAATCAACAGAGTCCACTTTAGGATACGTCAATGATGTCTGCATGAAGAATGACTTCCAGGACGACTTTGTGACCATTATTAACTAATATTTTGAAATACCTAGTTTGGCTGTAATTATATATATATATATTTTTTGCAATAGTAAAAAGATCTGTTTAAATGTAATTTGTGTCGCTTATAGGTAGGTGTAGTTTAGAAATCCACACAGGAAGAACATTTGTAAATATGTTTAAACAAAGCTGGTTTGGAAACTGTATTTCATGTTCCATGTTGTTAAGCATAAGATACGACGATTTCATTTCCCCTAAAATAGAAATGAATAAACCAAAGCAAGGAGGATCTATTGTGTTTATTTGTACAATGAAGTTGGGTTGTGCAGATCCCTTTGTTCCACTGTAAATATTTTTGAAAATGTCTAAAATAAGCATCTGGAATTAGGCTATAATGAGAACTTGTCACCCTTAAACAGAACATATCTGTGTTGACCCGGAGAAAGACTCAGTGTTGAGAGCACGTGTCTCCCAGAGGACCAGGTGTGGCTCTCAGCACCCCAGCGGTGGCTTACAACCACCCATAACTCCAGTTGCAGGAGATCTGATGCCCTCTTATGACATCTGAGGGCACTGCATGAAAGGGCACACAGACAAACATGCAGTCAGAGCATTCATACATATAAGACAAAAGTAGATAAACTTTTTTTGTTTGTTTTTTGAGACAGGGTTCCCCTGTGTTATCCTGGCTGTCCTAGAACTTACTCTGTAGACCAGGCTGGCTTTGAATTCACAGAGATCCACCTGCCTCTGCCTCCTGACTACTGGGATTATAGGCATGAGCCACCACCGCCTGGCAAAATAAATAAAATCTTAAAAAAAATATACCCCCCACAATATCTGTGTATATTTGATAATATCCATGGTAACTAGATTGTCCAGTAATTCTGGGAGCATTATGCATCACGCTAATATGGTAAGAACTTCCTGGTTTACTTGATATGATCTACTGTGTACAATTAAGTATTTAAGACTACACGATATCAACCTTGTAAAGGAAAATTTTTGCCAAGTTTTGAGGAGAATTAAAGGGAAATGATGTCTTTCTAAAGTTGAACATTTTCAACTCTACAGTACCTAATAATGTGCCACGTGCATACAGTAGTTAAAACTATTGTACATTCAGGCCTGACTCTATACACACTTGGGCATTTTTAATGCATTATTTTAATTTATCAATTTATTGTTTACATTCCAATCCCAGATCCCCTTCCTTCCCTCTCCTCCAGCTCTCCCCACTTCCCCACACACACCCTACTTCCTCCCATCTGTTCCTCAGAGAGGCTAAGGCCTCCCCTAGGAAATCTACTAAGTCTGTCCCATCATATCTTTGAGGCAGGACCAAGGCACCCACCCCCACCACCCGTGTCTAGACTGAGCAAGGCATCTCTCCATATAGAATGGGCTCCACTAAGTCAGTTTGTGCACTATACTTAGATCTTGGACCCACTGCCAGTGGCCTCATAAATTGCTCCAGCTACACTATTGTCACCTGTATTCAGGGAGTGTAGTTCAGTCTTATTCAGGATCCCCAGTTACACATAGGCATTCTAATGTTAAAGTCTAACATATTAGTTATTTCTTGAAAGCACACGAAGGCAGTAAGAAATCCCATTTCTATTTTCCAGACCAAAGCATAGATGCCAACTGTGGTGTAATCTGATGAGCAGGATAATGAGGTCCAGACCATGACTTGTAACTTTCATGTTTACAGATCGGTGTTCCCTGAACATTTTTGTTTCTGCATTGTTCCTTCAGAAGGATGGCTCATGCTCTGTCTGTCTGTGTAGCTGGGGACAGTCCAAGTGCACATTCTGTACTCGTATAAGCTGAAGATGGAATGAAGTATTAGTGAGAAAGATCCCTTTTTAGAATAAAGTCCAGGCTTTTCAAAGCAAGTATGATCTGGATTTACATAATCATGGAATACCAGATTAGGCAAAATAAATAACAAGCAAATAAGCTTCCTTAGTGATTTTTAAAAAAGTGTGGCTCACGGAACCTACAGAGATCTGACTGCCTCTGTCCTAAGTGCTGAGGTTAAAGGCATGCTTCTTGATACATTTTTAAATTTATACATTATTTCATTTCGATTGCCTTTTGCATTTTTGAGAGAGGGTCTTACATTGTCTCAAAGGCTGAGCTGGGACTTGCGATTTAGCTTCAGCTGGCCTCATATTCATCACCATCATCTTTTCTCGTCCTCCCTGTGCTGAAGCACCAGCCACTGCCATTCCTGGCTGGCGTCACTATTTACGGAGCCACATTTTGTCACCAGTCCTCTGGGGGAGTTAGATGACAATCTGAATCACTCTGGCGGGATAGATAATCTGAAGCAAATATATGATGAAGAAAATATTTGCCTCCCAGTTTCTTTGTTTTGTTAGTCTGTGATGACTCAGGGTACCTGTTAGAGAAACGCCCGCAGAGGAGGCTTGGCCAGCCGGCTCTCTGTGAGCCTCTTCATCCTCAGGCAAGAGAGCCAATGTTTATTTTGCCTCCCGGTGCTGGCAAGGAACACAGGAGATAATGCTCATGCCAGCCTCGATGTCCTTACAAACGTGCTCCAAAACAGTGCCAAGCCTAGTGTTTAAACAAAATAATTAGCTTTTAGGAAATAAGCTTAAAAACAAAAATGTTGTTATTTAACCTTGTTGGGAATTTGGCCCGCTCATCTTTCTGATTTTCTATACAATGCACACTAGTTTCTACAATGATTTTAGAAGAAAAGCCCCCTCCCTTTTTGGAAAGAATTAATAACTGCTATCAGTCATGAGAGCCCTTACTGGTAGCTTTGCCTCATGATCATCATGTGTGACCATTATGCCGAAATGACAGTTGCATGGCAGCTTTACACTCACTGTAGAAGTTCTACAGTTCACTGGGCTGGACACAGAAAGTAACAAAAATGTAAACAGTAATTTGTTTGTTATGTTCAGATGCTTTTAGTCTACCATGCATTTTAAATAATTGATGGTCAATAAATTAATACAGTTTTTATTTTTATTAAAATCAAATAGGAAGTATATGCAAAACATAGTTTTCAGGACTTGTCATTATTCCTACAGCACAAATAAGGAAGTTATTATATACAGAAAACTGGCTCAGGGTTTCTATTCTAGAAGACCTGAGTTTGATTCCCAGCACCCTTATTCGGTGGCTCACTTCTCAAAGACCTAAAACTCTAGCTGCAGGAGGCATCTTTGGGCACCTGCGTTCACACACAGGCAGGCAGACACACACACACACACACACACACACAGACACACACACACACAAGGACTATTACTTAGTTTTTTAGACCCTTGAGAACTTGGAGAAAGTTTTATTTTTCTTGCGTTAACTTAAAAAGCATCTAAGCTGCAATATAAGCAGTTAGTAGTAAATAAACTTTAAAAGATAAATTTTCATAGTTTGCATCTTACTTTCATAGTTTGCTTAACTTACTATTTTTAAAATATTTATTCTTTTTTATGTGTGTGTGTGTGTGTGTGTGTGTGTGTGTGTGTATAGCACATGTGTGTGCGTGCCATGGAGCAAGATTTACAGGCAGTTGTAAGTTGCCTGATGTGGGTGCTGCGAAGCCAACTCATGTCCCCTGGAAGAGCAGGAAGAGCAGGAAGCACCCTTAACTTCCGAGACATCTCTTCGGTCCCAGTTTGTTATGGTTTATGTGTGCACCTGTCAGCCATGCGTCCTTGGCTGCTAGAAGACAGGAAACTAGAGGTATAGGCAGTCATGTGCTGCTCCATGTGTGTGCTGGAAACCCAGGACCTCTGGAAGAGCAACAGTCTTCACAGCTGCTGAGCCACCCCTCCAGCTCCATCCCAAACCATTTTTTAAAGGGAACTAAAACTCCAAAAACAAAACAGTGTCTTTCTATGTAGTTCATGATGACCTAGAACTCACGGTCCTCCTGCCTTGACTTCCCAAATGCTGGAATTGCAATCCTGTGTTACTACACTAGGCTAACAAGTTGTTATTATTTGTACATTTCATACACCTCCATCTTCTGGAATGTTTGCTGTTATAAATGGTGACAAGTAAAGAGGATTATGGATGGAATTTCTCTATCTCATCTCATCAAAATGTATTTTAAGAGAACAAACCCATGAAAACAAAGAATATGGAAAGGTGCCAAATTCTGGAAACTAAAAGGCAAACAGTCCTGAAGGTAATTTGGGGAGGGATATATTTCTAATCATGTTCAAATCATAGCTTATTGGTTTTTCATCTGTAAGTGTGATTTCTTTTGTAATTTCTCTCCTATGCAACCTTTCTTTTTCCCCAGGCTTTCCTCTTGAAGTGTTTTTCTTTCTTTGGGAAACTGATTGCAGGGGTCGAGTCTGGTGGTTTCTCAGGCCCGTCAGCATTCACAGCTCTCAGGCTTCAGTGTGAGCTCCCAGACCCTTAGGCCTCTGCAGGTAGAGAGCATCATTGGGCCCAGAGCCCTTCACATCCGGGTAGTGTGCGCTTGATTTCAGCTTCTCATCCTGATGTGCGGGGAGGAGGCAGGACAGAGCAAATAATTGAGAGTTGAGGATTTGTTGTATCATTACTCACAGGCACAGCTTCATTTCAAAAGATCCTGCAAGGAACATTTCAGTCTCCTGACTCCAACAGGATCATAGCCAAATCACTACTGATTGAGCATCCCAAACTCATGCTGAACTTCACAAACGGTTCCTTTGGTTGAAAAAACACTATAAAATTCAAGTTGTGAGTTTAAAATGGTCCAGGTAAGGGCCACATGGTGGTTTTAGAGGGAAAGTATGATTTTTATGGTGATGTTCAAAGGGTATACATACCTTCCCATACAAATCAGAAGTAAGATGGTATGAATTTATGGTATGATTCAATAGTACACAGCATGATTTTTTGAAGTCTATCTTTTTAAACGCTGGGTTTAATGACATCTTAAAAGCTTCCCAACCTCTGCTCCCTTTGACACTGCAGTCTGGTGTTCAGTCCGTTTCCTGCTTTGTGAGTCTTTGGCCTGAGAATATTCAACAGAAATGGCTAGAATTTTGGTTTTTTAGGAAAAACATTATCGTCACTATTTCATATTTTTTTGTACTGCATTCTTCTATTTAATTAATCAAAAGTGTGTTCTAACAGCTCTTTCCATATGGAATTCACGAGCTTTTGCCCCATAAAATGTTATTAGATTACCCTTTCAATGGATTTGTCCAGAATATTTTCCGTGTTCCTTACTATTATTTAAGAATTAGACACAATGAGATAATGTTACAACTTATAATTTTTTGGGGGGGATGCGTTTCAAGACAGGGTCACTCTGTGTAGCCCTGGCTGTCCTGAAACTCACTTTGTAGACCAGGCTGGCCTCAGAGATACAAAAGGTGTGCACCACTACCACCTGGCCAACTTTAGCATTTTTTATCTTGTAGCTCTTTAACTTTGTAATCCATTTCTACAAGATTTTCTTAACTTTACCTTCAAGCCTTTTTATTTAGAAATTGTACTATATTTATGATTTCTAATGCCTTCTTCATTATGATCTTCTACTATAGTGCCCTGTCCTTTTCTATCTGAAAGTGCCAATAGTAACGTTTTGTCCTCTTTGTTTGGTCTGTCTTCTTAGCTGTTTGATGTCTCTTTGTGTTGGTGACATTTCCTCTGTCCTCGGTACCTGCTAGTATTTAATGACTAAGCTCCACACCCATGGATGGAGCTATGGCCAGGAGCTCTATTGTGAAGTGTTTGGCTAATTCACTTTCTTGGGAAACTATTTGACCATGGGGATTTTTAGCAGTTGGTAGTTTCCTCCAGAAGGAAGTCTCCCATTTCTGTGCTTCACTGGTAAACATGGCTGCTAATGTTGTCAGAATGCTAGTGAAGGAATGGGGGTCTTGTCGTATTTAATGTAAAACATTTCCTGGAGTCCCTCAGTTTTTGTTACAGTAGCCTTGATCACTACTATTCCCCGAATCCTTCAGATATGAAATACTCAAGATATTGCAAAGCTGTCTTACACAGGATGGGTGGTAGGATCAGGAGGAGTGTGCCACAGCCACACAGTTCAGGACTTGACTTGACTAAGGGAACGAGGGAATGAAGAAAGGACAGGCACACTTACAGAAACGTTGGGATGGGGAGAGTCATACTCTTTGATGGAGATGCAGCCACAGCACAGACACTCAGCTTGTTCCTTGCGAATAACTGTATGAGCTTGTTGTGTGCAGGAGGAGGAAGGCATGCTGATCTCTAGAGGTTTCTGCAGGTGAATAGTCACAGGCTGCAGTCATCCAGGGAGGACGATGCTGTGGTTGACAGTTTCTACAGAACTGGTTTTGGCTGAAGGTTAATCATTCCTAGCATCTGTACTTGAATCGTTTCTGTGAGCCTGACCTGGGGAAGGTGTTGGGGAAGTCCCATGGATCTGAGGTAATGAAATCTTGGCCATGGTCATGCTCATGTCAATAATATACAGCACTTGGGACTTTATCTGCTCCCCACAGGGATGCTTCCAAGGAACATACTTCTGTTTATAGTTGACCAACATGTTTCAGTGCCTGAATTCATACAAGACCAAGGCTATAAGATCAAGGACACAAAGAAGAGTTCCAAGGGCAGAGGAAAAGGAGCCTGTGAGCACAGTGGTACCCATGGGACCGAGGAGCATGCTGGAGAATTGGTTGCCAAATACAAAAATGTAAACTTCCTTGATGAAATAAAAAACCAAACAATAAATCAGCAAAATAATCTACACTCCATATGATGTGAGTTCGACATCTGACTCAAGCAGAGAAACGTGGTACCAGGGTCCCCAGCATCCCTGTTGTCCTCCAGTTTCTCTGCTTGAGTGCTGTGTCCTCTTCTGGGAGTTGATACGATGGTGGCTGGGGAGCTCTCAAGACAACAGCCAGGTAAATTTCTCTTTTGGCTTTTCTTCCCTGGGACCCGTCAGCAGATTTGGTTAAACCCTGAAGGTCTGACCCTGCTATTTCTTCCATGCTTTTTCTGTAGCCCAGCCTGGTTTCTAACCCACCACCTTCCTGCCTCAGTCTCCCAAATACTGAAGTGACAGGTTTCACACCACCATGCCTGGCTTGTCCTTGATTTACAATGTTTTTGTTCTCCATGCTTGGAATTCCTTCCTGCTGTTTGCTTTCCTGACAAGCTTGTCCCTCTAACACCCCACATGCTATACTGTTTCAGAAGTCTTTTTCAAGAGTGGCTTAGCCTGAATGGCTTGCATTTTCTCTGTCCTTTCGAGTATCTTTGATGATATCATTACTTTTTTTTTTAGTGTGACAGCCATATTATAAGGTTGTATTTATTCCCCAACATCCAAATATACTCCCAAGTGAGAAGGAAGCATATTAGAAGGGAGGAGTGTTTTCTTGTGCTCATGCTCTACGACCTGGCCCAGTCTCACAAACAGATGGCACCCATAACTGTGGGTCAGTCACAAGGGCAGCTTAGTGGAGGTCTCCATGCACACGGTGACTTTATTTGGTCCAGTCCCAATGACATTAGCCATCTCATGGATCTGTACTGGAACCCTGTTCTATGGTCCGCGCCACTGTGAGTCGGATCACCTCATAATAAAGGAAGAGGGCATGATTTCTGCCCTTAATAAGTTTTATTTTTAAGTGATCCAAAGCATATGTAAGTGCACACAACACTTACAAAGAAATTGCAATTATTATTAAGCAGCAGGGTCTGGGGGCAGATGGAACTGACTGGGAGAAAAGGAGCCCTGTGATGTGAGTTGGACATACACAAGGAAGGTGGCGGTGTACCAGCCCGGCTGTCCTCACTCACCCTTCAACTGTCTGCTGACAGAACATTCACGCCCTCTGCTTGGCAGCTGGAATGTTTTCAGCAGGCTTGAAGTCCAGACACACACATTTAGCTCTTCAGTGCTCACAACTGGCAGTCCTTAAGATGGAAATCTCTGCACACTGGATCTTCCGTGAAGCTAATGTCTCGTTAGAACAAAGTGGTCCACTTTCGGGCCAACATCCTTTAACTGTGTTCTTCTTCTAACAGCCTTGCAATTCTGTAATGATACGCATGGATTTTTTCCCATTGAGGGAGGACATCTTAACTCCAAAGCAGTCTCCTTCTTAATGTTCCGAGTGGAAGGAAACAGAACTGGTGCTTTCGGAGACAGTGGTTGAAATAGTTACTACAGGGAAGCAACTTGGTCTGTGGAGGGCGTTAACACTGAGGGAGGGGGAGCACACTTGTTCTTTGCTCCATCCCCAGAACATACAAGTAGCACAAACTTACCATTGTAGGACTAATGAACACTGCAAATGACAGCCCCCTCACAAGCACCCAGTTTCTTTTCCAACTTTCACTGCTACTTCTGTGCCCATGCTGTCAGCCTCTATCAGCTTTCCTACTGTCGTATCTCTGAAAGCTTTGACTGGAATCCCAAGGAAAGTCACACCACTTGTCAGGATAGTGCCGGATGTGGTGACATGTGCTGTGACTTGGGCAGAGGCAAGTAATGTCACAGGAAAGACAATCCTCACCATTTGTCCTTTAATGATGACTAGACATTATAATTAGCCCACAACCAGTCTGTAGTAACAAACTGACAGATCAGATCAAAACTTCTAGTCAGTAGAAAACATGGGCAGGCATCTACTTCAGGAATATGAAAGATAAGGAAGTAGGAGAAATTGTTGCACAGTTTAAAAGAAAATAAAAAAAATCAAACATTGTGCCCTGTGCTTGAGACGGGCTCTCCATGCAACATCTGAAAATCAGAATACAGACTTAAATACTCACAAGATGTTTTGTACTTGTAACAATTTCTTCCCTCCCAAGTGGGGGCTTAGGAAACTCTGTGCCATGATCTTGGAACTACAAAGAGCAGTGGCTAAGAGTAAGAGTGAAATGGAAGCCAACTGGCTCTCTCTGGAGTGCGAGGCCAGTTCCAAATTACATTTATCACTGACATTGTAATAAATGATGACTAGAGACCCTGAGTAACCTACAGGTAAACATCTTCTGAAGAAATTTAACATTATTCTAATTCACAAATTGTGCCAAAAAGTAATTGCTGAAACACAAGTTTTGATGCACAATTTAAAAAAAAAAAACACAACAGGAACACAGAGAAACAGAAATTCATGAAAAATAAAAGTCATACTGGAAAGACTTCAGAAGTCTTATCATCAAATAGGAATTTTTGAAACTAAGCCTTCTTTACTCACAGAAGTAAAAGAAAAAATTTGGAATCATACTTCAGAACTGAAAACAACTAAACAAGTCACAGCAGATTTCCAAAGGACCAGAAAGAAGAAGCCAGACCCACAAAATTTAGTAACTAGATTCAGTAACTCAAAGAGTAGATTTAGTAGTTGACTCAACACAGATAAAGAGAGAATGTGTGATCTGGATGATAGGACAGAAAGAAATAGGCTGAAACGCAGGTCACAATAAACGGCAACAGAAGGAAGTCAGACGGAGAGGACACAGTGAGGCTGCACAGTGTTTGAAGAAGAAGTAGCGTACCATCTTCCAGCTTTGAGGAGGGTTGGTAAACTGCATCCAGTAATCCCAAGGTGGACAAATAGTTTATCATGCCTCTCCTAAACTGCCATGAATAATTACAGCAACAACAAGGCAAGTCTTGAACGAAGCCAGAGGCAAAGGGCAGCCTACCAAAGGCCAACAAAGAGATGATGTATTCACTTGGAAAAGGAAGGTCAAAATAAAAACAGGAATCAAAAGAAAGCAATCTATATTTCTACTCAGTGAAAAAACTCTTACAAATACAAAGATGAGATAATAGCATTTGATTTTCAGCAATAATGCGCAGAGAACTCGATGTTCAGAACACCTACCATGCTCTCTTTGATGCTGGAGAAAATAATTTCTTTTTATTTTATTTTATTTTTTATTTTTGGTTTTTTTCGAGACAGGGTTTCTCTGTGGCTTTGGAGGCTTTTCCTGGAACTCACTCTGTAGACCAGGCTGGCCTCGAACTCACAGAGATCCGCCTGCTTCTGCCTCCCGAGTGCTGGGATTAAAGGCGTGCGCCACCAACGCCTGGCCAATTTCTAATAAAGGGTTAAATATTCAAGAAGGCAACGATGAGATAGGCAACACCGGCATTGTGATGGCTAGTGTTAATTGTCAGCTTGACATGATCCAGAATCACCCAGGAGACGGTCCTCCAGGTGTATGCAGGAGACAGGCCTCCAGGATCACCCAGGAGACAGGCCTCCAGGATCACCCAGGAGACAGGCCTCCAGGATCACCCAGGAGATGGTCCTCCAGGTGTATGCAGGAGACAGGCCTCCAGGTGTATGCAGGAGACAGGCCTCCAGGTGTATGCAGGAGACAGCCCTCCAGGATAACCCAGGAGACAGGCCTCCAGGATCACCCAGGAGACAGGCCTCCAGGTGTATGCAGGAGACTGGCCTCCAGGATCACCCAGGAGACAGGCCTATGGGTGTGTGAAGGATTCTCTCTACTAGGTTAGCCTCTGGCTATGCCTGTGAGGTACTAGGTTAATTAGGTTAACTGAGGTGGGAAGGCCCATCCTAAAAGTTGGCAGTAATGATCCCTGGGTTTGGTTTCCGGGCTGAATAAAAAGGAGAAAGCAAGTTGAGCACAACCCTCACCACACTCGGCTTCCTGACTGAGGTCACCACTTTGAATTTCTGATGTCTTGCCTTCTCTGCCATGCTTGGCTGTACTTTCTTGTTTTTCTTTAGAAACAATCTTATTTTACATATCAATTCCCCCATTTCCTCTCCCTCCCATCCTCCCATGGCCCCTACCAACACCTCCAACCCACCTCCCACCTGCTCCCCAAGGATGGTGAGGCCTTCAATGGGGGCTCATCAAAGTCTGTCATGTCATTTGTGGCAGAGCATATGCCCTCTTTCATGTATCTGGACTTCAATAGAATCCCTCCATAGGGAATGGGCTCCCGAAGTCCATTTCTGCACTAGGGATAAATACTGGTTCTACAGTTAGAGGTCCCATAGACTGTCCAGACCTCCTAACTGACACCCATATTCTGGGGGCTTAGTTTTGTCCAATGCTGGTTCCCCAACTTTACGACTGGAGAGCATGAGCTCCCCCTTGTTCAGGTCAGCTAGTTCTGTAGGTTTTTCCAACCTGGTCTTGACTCCTTTGCTCCCTCTCTGCAACTGGATTACAGGAATTCAGCTCAGTGTTTAGTTGTGGGTGCCTGTTTCTGCTTCCATCAGTTACTGGATGAAGGCTCTAGGATGGCATATAAGGTAGTCATCCATCGCATTATGGGGGAAGGGCATTTAAGGTAGACTCTCCACTATTGCTTAGATTCTTGGTTGGAGTCATCCTGTGGATCTCTGGACATTTCCCTAGTGCCAAATTTCTCTTTAAACCTATAATGGCTCCCTCTATTAAGTTATCTCTTGTCTTGCTCTCCTCTATTCCTCCTGTCTCAGTCTTCCTGATCCCTGTTGTTCTCCTCCCCCTCATCTTCTCCCCTTCTCTTTTCCCTCCCTCCCTCCCTCTCCCTGCTCCCATGCTCCCAATTTGATCAGGAGGTTTTATCCATTTCCCCTTCTTCGGGGAACCATGTACTATTCTCTTAGGGTGCTCCTTGTTTCCTAGTTTCTCAAGGTCACATAAAAACCTGCCTCTGTTAAGTAACTTTTGTAAGGGCATTTTATCATAGCATCAGGAAAAGAAACTAAGACATTGGCATTTCCAAGTGCATGCTTATTAAG